CCCTGCACTGGCCAGCAGGTGAAGGGGATGGAGCTAAATCTCTAGCCATTTTCCATTTACCTTCTGCAGGGACCAAGTAAGCAAGGAAGCAGGACCCATTTATTCTTCTCCCTTGGTCCAGGTAGCACATGTGGAGGCATAAGGGGGTGGCTCATACTCCCCTGCACAGGTGTGTGGTACAAGTCACAATCTATCCTCAGTAACCTAGCAAATCTCAGCACCAGCTGGCCTGGAACACAAAGGGTCCATTGTGTAGCTTGTAATCCCTTTGTCTATTGTATTAACAGTTATATTTTATTATATACTTCTTTTATCCTTTTAGTATGAGTGCATTTTTTGGCTTTCTTTTTTGTACTTATTTTTTTTCTTACTGCACCAGGATTCATTTTTTCTTTATAAAAAGTTATCAAAAATAAGAGTTCTGATTATGTACATTTGTTTTTTGTAGCTTTTTCACACTGTATTTGTTTATTTCTTGGAACTTGTTTAATTAATCCAGATTGCATAAAATGGCTAGGTATTGAAGAAAACTTTTGCATTTGGACATGAAAACGTGGGACTGTTGGTTCCCCTTTTACTGAAGGCCATCCAATCTTCTTGGGGAGAGGCTAGCTAGGATAGTCAGGAGGGTATTAAACTAATTACAGAAGGGGAGGGTGAAAAAAGAGAAGAAATGAGCACTCAGCATAAAATCAAGATTGGTTTTATTATTTTTGTTCTCAACATAAGGACACAGAGAATAAATTATTTGCTTTCATACCAATGCTGGGAGCCTGGGTAACCTACAAGAGGAATTGGAATTGCTCATTTATGAGCATAAATTTGATCTAGTGCATCTTATTCAAACCTGCTAGGATGGTTCACATGATTAGAATGTTAAAATCAATAGTTATGAATTATTTAGGAAGGACTGAGTGGGCAATAGGGGAGGGAAGTGGCTCTCTATGTCAAAAATGACATTACCTATTTCTGAGTCACTGACAACTTGGAAGAATATCATCTTGAATACTTTATGGATCATTGTCCTAACAGATTAAGCACATGATGAGGTGTTAGCTGGTGTCTGCTACAAATCACAACAGGGAACCATATGACCAGCTCCTCAAGCACCTATTTACAGTGTGTGTGTGTGTGTGGCGGGGAGCTGAATGATCATGGGAGAATTCAGTTTGAGGGACAAAGGTCTCAGACTGCCAGTACTAAAACATCCTCTGAATTACTAAATATTATAGATAAGTTTCTCAATTCTAATTCAAAAAGTGTTGCGTCCAGTATGGGAGAATTATATATTCGACCTTTTCTTGACAGATAAGAAAAATTGATCACAAAACTAAAAGTTAGTGATAACTTATGGACACGTTTACATGACTTGATCATAGTTGTTATGTTCAAACAGAATCAAGTCCAAATCAGTAATATGTGGTGCTTTAAATGAAAACAGTTTATGAGCCAAATCATCCATGAGGAATGATTTTAATCATAAAAATGTGAATGATCATTGGGAATGGTTTAAGAACTAGATGTCCCAAAGCCATAATCTAGAATCAAGGAAGATGGCTGCACTAGTTTAAAAAACAAAACAGCTCAGAGGGTAAGTGAAGGTAGCTATAAATATACACAAATGGAAGAAAAAGGAAGTTAATAGGAATGAATATAAATAGAAACTAGGAATTGTAGAAAACAGATTTCTGCTTGTGTCCTTTTTGCTTCCTTTGTTAATTGCCATAAAAGATAGAGATAACCAGATTTTTTTTTTTAAACAAAAAAAGTCCTAACAATGGTATTGGTCTATTACTAGGAAATGGTAGCATTGTCAACAGTAATGCAGAAAAGGCAACAAAGTTCAATAAATACTTCTGTTCTGTATTTGGGGAAAAGACAGATATATTCATATCATATGATGATACACATTCTAGTCCAATAGTAACTCAGGAGGATGTTAAACAGTAGCTATGGAAGACAGATGTCTTAAAATCAGCAAATCCAGATAACTTATATCCGATATTATTAAAGGAGCTGCCTGAGAAACTTGCTGGCCCATTACCATTGATTTTGAATAACTCTTTGAACATTGGGGAAGTTCCAGAAGACTAGAAGAAACCTAATGTTTTGCCAGTATTTTAAAAATAAGTGGGCTGACTGAGTAATTGTGGGCCTGTCAGCCTAACACTGATCCTTGGCAAAATACTGGAGCAGGTGATAAGGGACTTAAATAAAAAACAATTAAAGGAGGGTATATAACTAATGCAAATCAAAATGGGTTTCTCTAATTTTTCAAGGTGATTTTGAATTCTATTCATGTCCAACAAGTGTTTGCAATACTTCCAGCTTGGTGTCATCTACAAATTTTATAAACATACTCTCCACTCCATTATCCAAGTTATTAAGGACAATATTGGACTGACCCCAGGACCCCACTGACCCCAGGACTGACCCCAAAGGACCCCACTACGTACATCATCACAGTTAGACAGCATACCAATGATAACTACTTTTAGTATGGTCGTTAAACCCAGTTATACAACCACCTTATAGTGATTTCTAGATCACATTTCCCTAGTTTGCTCATGAGAATTTCATGTGGGACAGTGTCAAAATCCTTACTAAAAATCAAGGTATATCTATTGCTTTCCCCCCCATCAACAAGGCCAGTAATCCTGTCAAAAAAAGGAATTAGGTTGGCATGACTTGTTCTTGACAAATCCATGTTGGCTATTATTTATACCCAGTTATCCTCTAGATGCTCATAGATCATTTAATAATTTGTTCCAGTATCTTTCCAGGCATTGAAGTTAGGCTGACTGAGTCTGTAATTCCATAGGTTCTCTTTGTTCCCCTTTTTAAAGATTGGTACTATGTTTGCCTTTCTCCAGTCCTCTGTGACCTCATCCATCCTCCATGATAATTGCTAATGGTTCCAGTATTGCTTCAGCTACTTCCTTAAGTACCCTATGGTAAACTTAATCAGACTGTGACAACTTGAGTACATCTTGTGATGCTGTATGGAATATGGGTGACCATTTATAATATTATCAATACCAATGTTACAAAATTGCAATGAATCTTATACAAGATATGCCATGTAGGGTATCAATGGAAAAGTTATGATTTGCTAAATATGATATGCTTGTTTGTATGTATGTATCATCTTTGTATTGTGAGTTATAAATATGTGTGATATACTGATATCTCAAACTTGTGCTGTGCATCAGGGTGATACCCCAGACAGATTAGCATCAGCACTAGCCAGTCTGCTTGATGGTATATCAAGGGCAATCAGCTGTACAATGAACCCACTGAAAAAAGCCAAGGCAAGGCCTATGAGTCAGCAGGACATGTAGGAACATGCCTATAGACAGAGGACTCCAAATACTTTTCCATGCCCATGTGCTGTGAGCTTGCATTTGGGACAAAGGATGTACAAACCACATGGAAGAGAATATAAAAAGGCAGCTGCATTACCTTCATTTTTATTGTCAATCCTGCTTCTCACCTCTGGAGTAACTTCTTTACAAACTGAAATTTGAACAAAGGACTGATAGATCCATCCACACTTTGGATGTGTTCTAGAGAGACTTTTCAAGCCAGCAAACTTACCAATATTGCTAAGAATGTGATATATTGACTATGACGTTTTATGTATGTATCTGATTGCTTTGACCATTTAACAACTCTCTTCTTCTTTTATTTTATAATAAACCTTTGGTTTTAGACACTAAAGGATTGGCTGGCAGTGTGGTATTCTGGCAGCATAGTATTTTGGGTTAGATCCAAACTACTATTGATCTGGTAATGTGGCTGGTCCTCAGGGGATCAGAAGAACATTTTGTATAGTGAAAAGAGTTTTAAGTAACTTTTCGCTTTACTGGATCTATTTGCTGATTGAAGTCCAGTCTCTAGCTCCCAATAAAGGGAACTGTCTGATTTCTCTTTTCAGCTTCTTGATAACCAGTGTGGGGGACCAGGAGCACAATTTGTGCTAACTACAGTGTTAACCACCAGTTTTGGGAAAATCTGCTCTCCTTTTTGAAGCCTGCCCGGACCTTGGCATTTTCAATGTGGGCTACCCTAGGCACTGTGAGTCACATGTCTAACATCTAAATATTCTTTGATCTGTTTTTTCCCTATTTTGGCTTGTGTTCCTTCCTCCTTATTAATATTAATTTTGTTCAGTATCTCATCACTATTAGTCATTTTTACTGAAGACTGAAACAAAATAAGCATGAAACATCTCAGCCTTCTTTGTCATCCATTATTAGCTCTCTTTCCCCACTAAGTAATGGACCTACACTTTCCTTCATCTTTCTCTTGCTCTTAATATACTCATAGAACCTGTTCTTATTTCCTTTTTCTCCTTTGCTAGGTGTAACTCATTTTGTGACTAAGCCGGTCTGATTTTGTCCCTACATGCGTGTGCTATTCTTTTTTTATCCTCCTTAGCAATTTGGCCATACTTCCACTTCTTGTAGGATTTCATTTTGCTTTTCAGGTAATTAAAGAGCTCCTGATGGAGCCATAGTGGCCTCTTACCATTTGACTTTTCTTTTCTTTGCATCAGTGAAGGGTTAATGTTTAGCTAGTCCACCTGGAAGCAGGCGGGGCACACCCTGACTGTTTCGTAGAAGCAATGCACACATTGCTCTATCCAAGGACAAGGGCTAGATATGAACCATGAGAACTTGATTGTTTGGACAGCAATTGTGGGAGGCTTTCTTAGCCTGGGCTCAAGGCCTGAGAACCAGGATTGTAGTAGATAGGGGATGGTAACTAAGTATATGAATTAACGTCATACATTCCTTTGTGTAGCAGTGTGTAATGCTTAGGGGGAGAAATATAATAAAAGGAGAAGGTGGAAGGCGGGGGGGCAGAACGCCCATCTCAGCTGACCAGCCTGCTTGCTTGCAAAAAGCTGTGTTCTGTCTCATCACTGAACCGCCACAACTGGCGCCCAACGTGGGGCCCTCAGCACTCACCTCGCCTGGCAAGGGTTTCAGACGCATCACTCATCCGCTTCGCGGATCCCGGTGAGTATTTTTCATTGTGGTAAGTATGGGAAGCTCCCTCTCTGCTTTGCAAGTGCAACACCGCAATGAGCTGCAGTATTTGCTGCGTAAGGCTCAGCATGACTGCCCGGCTCGAGCACTTACTCTCCTGCTACAGGAGGTGCGTGCCAAGTGCCCATGGTATCCTGAAGCCGGAAGCCTTAAGCTAGCAGACTGGGAGCGATTGGGCCAGACATTGCACAAAGAGCCTCGGGCGCCCGTGCAGGCTTTACATGCCTGGCACCTCTGCCGCGATGTGGTACAGCGTGTCGCCTCCGACAGGCCCTCCCTCGCGAGGCTGGTGATCTCACCACCCCCGTCTGCTCCTGCAGCCATCCCCCCTCCTGGCGATGCGACACAGAGTGTCGCCTCGGAAAGGCCCTCTCCAGCACCAACAGAGGGGCTGCCGATCCCGCCGCCCCCGTTCGCTCCTGCAGCCATCCCTCCCCCTGCTTCGCCCCCAGTGCCTCTATTACCACCGCCTCCCTGGCCTTCCCCACCGGAGCCGGTGTGTGATCACCCTCCCCCCGTGGGGCCCCCCGGAGGGTCATCTGCATCTGCTCAGAAGCTTTCGCTGGTGCAACAAATGGTTCACGCAGCGAAAGCTCGATCAGATCTTACAGCGGAGGAGCTGGCTGATCTGGTCTCCGTTTGCCCGGTGACCTGGCAGAATGATGACCAGGGCAACCCCGTGGGCACCTGGACCACTTTGTCATACTCGGTGGTTAGAGAGGTAAAGAAAGCAATTCGTGAATTTGGCCTGACTAGCACCTTTGTGCGTGGTCTCGTTGAAGGGATAGGTACTGGGTACTCCCTAATCCCTGAGGATTGGAAAACGCTGCTGCGCATGATGTTGTCACCCAGTCAGTATGTTATTTGGCTTAGTGAGTATCGGCAGATGGCAGAACGCCAAGCTCAGGTACATGCAGCGCACGGTATCATTTATGAGCAATTGGCTGGGGAGGGCCCGTTTGCTACTATTCAGATGCAGTCTCAACTCCCTCAGGCCGTCTTCCCCATTATTTCCACCTGTGCCCAGCATGCTTTCAAGAAGGTCCCGGATTCAGGCAAGCCTACCAAAAGCTTTGTCAGTATCCGTCAGGGTGCCTCAGAGTCCTTTTTGGATTTTACCAACAGATTGCAGGAGGCTATCCTCCGACAGGTGGATAACACTGAGGCAGCTCACGAGCTCCTGTTAAAATTGGCAGTTGAAAATGCAAACGAGGATTGCTGCCGTGCTCTCCAGGCAGCACAAGCCTCTGGTATTTTAGAGCTCTCAGACATGTTGCGGGCGTGCCAGAACATTGGCACACAAGCCCACAAGGCTGGAGTTCTGGCTGCCGCCCTCAGAAAAACTGGGAAGGAGGGGAAGCGTTGTTACCGCTGTGGTAAGGAGGGTCATTTTCAGCGGGAGTGCCGCTCATCTAAGGCACCAGCCCGACCCTCAAAGAAGTGCCCCAAGTGTGGGAAAGGTTATCACTGGGCTAATCAGTGTCGTAGCGGGTCGGGAAACCGCGCGACGGGTCCCCCCCGAACCCAGGGCCAAACGGGGGTGTTTCCTACTCAGACAATCGCTCCTCTGCCTTGGAATCCGTAGACTCTATGAGGGCGGCGACTGCTGGAAGTGCAGGGCTTGATTTGATCATGCAGGAGGACACTGACTTTCGGCTGCCAGGGGAGGTCTGTGCCATACCTACACAGGTGACGGGACCTCTCCCTGCCGGCTTTGTAGGTCTTGTTCTCCCTCGCTCACATGCTGGGAAACAGGGCTTTTTGTCATTCCAGGGGTCATTGATGCTGATTACACTGGCATTATTAAGGTTCAGGTGTGGACTCATCTTCCACAGTCGCTCCCGCGTGGACGGTCAATTGCACAATTGATTTTAGTCCCCTATCAGGTGCCAGCTGCCGAGGATCGAACTCGGGGCGGAGGCGGCTTTGGATCGACGTTGTCTCACTCGCCGTCTCACAGCGCGTCTTCTCCACTTGTTGCTCTGACAATGTCAGTCCGCCCCTCGAAGCCTCAGTTAACACTTCTCTTAGATGATGTTCCTTTTACAGGGCTGGTGGACACTGGAGCTGACGTTACGGTGATTCGTGATCTGGAGTGGCCGGTTAGTTGGCCAATGGTTCCTTCTAAAGAATTGTGGGGGATCGGGGGTAGTAAACCCGGGCGCCAAAGTTTGTCTTGGGTCACGGTCTCTAAACCGGGAGGCCATACCCTTGCTACTATCCGCCCTTTTGTGCTCCCTGTCCACCTCAATATTTGGGGCCGTGATTTACTTACAAAGTTAGACACCACCCTCGATATTAACATCTGATGGCCCAAAACCCTCCCTCACCCACCGTGCCCTCCGCCTTACCCTTGGTATGGCAATCCTTAGAGCCCGTATGGATTGATCAGTGGCCCCTCCCTCTAAAAAAGCTAAAAGCACTTCATTCGCTTGTGCAGCAGCATTTGCAAGCACAGCGACTGGAGAGCTCCACTAGTCCCTGGAACACCCCGGTGTTTGTTATTAAGAAAAAATCGGGTGCTTGGCGGCTGTTACATGACTTAAGGGAAATAAATAAACGCATCCAACCTATGGGCCCCTTGCAATTTGGCTTACCAAATCCAAATTTAATTCCTCCAACCGATCAACTTTGTGTGTTAGATTTAAAAGATTGGTTTTTTTTACCATCCCCCTTTGCCCTCAGAATTAGCTGCTGTTATTTTGGCCTTTCAACCTTTTGCTGATTGTCCCTTTAATTTAATTGTGGATACCTATTATGTTTATTAAGTAATTGATCATTTACCCCTTGCCCTCATTACCCCTCAGGTTGATGCAGACCTCCTTCGCCTGTTTTTGTTTTTGCAGCACCTTTTTGCCACTTGTCATTTCCCTTATTTTGTTGCTCATATTTGCAGTCATACCCCTCTGCCTGGGCCACTCACTGAGGGCAATGCACGCGCTGGTTGCGCGTTGCGTGGTCAGGTAAATTCCCTTTTTTCTGACCCCATTGAAAGCCATGCCTTTTTTCATCAGTCTGCCTCTGTTTTGGCCCGGCAGTTTCACATTCCTGCTGATCATGCACGTTCCATTGTTCGTTCCTGCCCCCACTGTGCTGCTGCTGCTCCTACTTTTTCTTATGCCGTTAACCCCCGAGGTACCGCAGCAAATCAGCTGTGGCAGATGGATGTTACTCATGTGCCACAATTCCGCCCCTATTTGTTTTTACATGTTTCCGTTGATATTTATTTAAGTTTTTTTTGGGCTTCCCCACAACGTGGGGAAGCCACTAACAAAGTTATTCACCATTTGCTGGCCTGCCTTTTTGTTATGGGTCGCCCCTGCCAAATTAAAACAGATATGCCCCAGCCTACTGCTCTGCAGCCCTCTCCACCTTTTGTGCCCGCTGGGACGTCCGTCTTACACACGGAATCCCTTATAATTTCACGGGCCAAGCCATTGTTGAACGTGCCAATCGCACACTCAAAACCTTGCTAGATAAACAATTAAAACAAGGGGAGCTGCGTCTCCGAACCTTAGGAGACATTTAACAACAAATGCATATCCTCTTGTTTACTTTAAATAATTTAACACTGAATGCAGATCAGCAGACCCCTGCGGATCGGCATTTTCACAAATCTGAGGTACTGGAAAGACCACGTGTCTATTACTGTCAGCTGCCCGATCCACAGTGGCTGGGCCCAGTACCTCTAATCACTTGGGGTCGGGGATATGCTGCTGTGTCTCTCCCTGCAGGACCGTTGTGGGTTCCAGCTCGGTGTGTGCGACCGGCACTTAAACAACATGGCATGGCACCAGGGACTGTCGAATCCCATACCGGAGTTTCAGCTGACCTTGGAGGAGACCGCGTTGCCCCCCGAGTCGACAACGACGGGACGGAAACGGAGGAGGCGTAGCGTCCCAAGCCAGCCCGTGACATGGGGAGCAGTAAAAGCATTGGTCGCCGCGGCTCAACGAAGACTGGCAGCAGATCAACAGCCAGAGACTCCTGAGACTTTGTTTGTGGCGATTCTCGCCCAAATCACTGCTAATTCTGTGATGATTGTGTGCCTTTTGTGCCTGCTATCTCCTGTAGGGGTTGGCTCGGAAGCGCCTCCCCCGTTATAAGCCCGAATGACATATAACATATGGGAAAGATTGGCTTCAATAGCAAATGTTACCTGTGCGTGTGTAGTTAATTGTACTAGTATAAAGGTGCCCTTAGGCTGTCGAAAAATTTTTTAACCTCTTTTAAATTGTTCCCATGCTGTTAATGTTTTATATAATTATGGCCATATCATCCTACCATCAGGATGGGTTTTTACTTGCGGTTCACGCACCTTTAATTATATTCCTGCAAATGTAAGTGATGGCACCCTTTGCTGTTTTAGTAGAATGATATTTATATTGCCTTTTTCTGGTGACAATTGTAGTAAAAGAAGTGTACCCCTTTTAGATGATTATATTGCAGATGTTGAGCTTTTGGTTATTTTGTGTTTGTAATCATTGGGCTTACTTTTTGCTGCTGCTGTGTACAATGTATTCTTTCCTTGTTAAGATTTTGTAAAATTTTGCCCTGGAAAGCTCCCCAGGTTATGTCCTTGTCTGTCTGGGAGTTAAATAGCATGACAAAACAAATTGACGGCTACCATGAGATGGCCAAATATCAATAAATAAAAAAACGGGGAGATGAAGGGTTAATGTTTAGCTAGTCCACCTGGAAGCAGGCGGGGCACACCCTGACTGTTTCGTAGAAGCAATACACACATTGCTCTATCCAAGGACAAGGGCTAGATATGAACCATGAGAACTTGATTGTTTGGACAGCAATTGTGGGAGGCTTTCTTAGCCTGGGCTCAAGGCCTGAGAACCAGGATTGTAGTAGATAGGGGATGGTAACTAAGTATATGAATTAACGTCATACATTCCTTTGTGTAGCAGTGTGTAATGCTTAGGGGGAGAAATATAATAAAAGGAGAAGGTGGAAGGCGGGGGGGCAGAACGCCCATCTCAGCTGACCAGCCTGCTTGCTTGCAAAAAGCTGTGTTCTTTCTCATCACTGAACCGCCACACATCAGGATAGTTTGGTGTTGTATCTTTAATATTGTCTCTTTGAAAAACTGCCAGCACTTCTGATTTCCTATTTCCCTTAGATTTTCTTCTGAAGGGACCTTACCTTTCAGTTCTTCTTCAAGTGCTTCCTCATGTCCATTCCTTATTAGGTGTGTGTGTGTGCTTGTCACACTCACTGGTGCCGGAAGTTTTTCCCTTAGCAGTATCCATAGGGGACCATCTCTGGCACCCTTTGGAGCGGTGCCTGCATGGCATGGGATAAGGGATGCTGCCGGCTCCCTTACCATCAGTTTCTTCTTGCCGCCAGTGACGGTGCTGGAACGTCTGCTGCGTCAGCTAGCTTTCGCTTACTTCAGTGTGTCTCGCGAACGTTTCTTTATAAAATAGTTGTATATAGTTTAATATTTACCCTTAGCGAATTAGCTGTTTAAGGTGAAGGACACAAGTGACAAGTGTCGCATCTGTAAGTCATTCAAACCCAGAACAATAAAGAACAGAGATATCCATCTCAGGGCACTTCTGATGGAGTCAGTGCTGACTGGCACTGCAGCAGAGGTCCAACTTCACCCTGAGCGCCGCAGCATCAGTATGGAGTGCCCCACCGGTGATATCTATGATCCGGCACCAGTCCCCCTCCCCGGCCCTGGTGAAGAAGCCAAAGAGGTCTGCGAGGGGAAGATTTCCCACTTCCTGTAAGGGAAAGGAGAGGGCTAGAGGAGAGCCAAAACCCGTGCTCGGCAGCTCAACACCTTCATCAGAGAGTCGGGCCCCAGCTCATGTCGAGCGATCAAACCCCTCCCGTATTATGCTTGCCACACCAGACAGTGACGAGGGCCTCCGTAAACTCAAATCCCATCTGAGGCCCTGAAGGCAGCGCAGGCGATCCTTATGCTGCTGGTGCTTCCCACACTGGTTCCGGTGGCACCCAAGCCGGGTGTAAACCCACCTTGGGACCATTCTGAGTGTCCCCACCTCCGCAGCGCTGCTCCCCATCGTGGGGAACATCCCACCAGTGCTTGCCTGCATGGAGCTGTCATGCCTCTGACTTTGAGGCAGGCTCAGAGAAGCCCTCTTTGGTCTCTGGACCCTGGGCGCTGACAGCAGGATTTGAGGTGTATCTTGCCGGTAACCTGGTGCAGACCTGTGGAGGCATATGCTGTCTGGCATGAGTGTAGAGACCAACCCATCGGGTCTCCAACGCCTTGGCACCAGTCATGTGACCGATTGGCGGAATGGGATCACCAGTCACCCACCCACTGGCACCTGCCTCCAAGACGCTAATCCCCTTGATCAGGGAGATTCTATTGATGACTGGCCTGTTCCAACTCCCAGTCCCACTCTAGATCTTGGTACAGGTCAAGTAGCGTGAGGCGTAAATAACAGGTCTACTGATGCAGATCTGCCGAACACTGAAGATCCCGGGGGTCCTGCGGGAGGAACTCATCCTGATTGGACAGGTCAGCATCGAGGTACAGTGACTGGTACTGCGGGGAGGAGGGCCACTGGGCCAGCCGGACATGGTTACTCTGCAGCATCCACTCCACTTATGACTCCAGTGCTGATCAGGAGTCCCTGGCAGCAGGACAGGCCCTGGAACCAGAGGTACCATTGACCTCATTGGCATGGCAACCGACTCCGTGACCTCCAGGCCAATGGCCGGCAGCGTGATACCCCTGGAATCCATGGGGGTTCACCCAGCCTTCCCAGGCCACCTGATCAGAGGCGGGGGCCTCAGGTAGGCCATTGGCTGCAGCATCCCTCCCTCCTCTGGAGGGACAGACCCCCCCTGGAATCCATGGGGGTTCACCCAGCCTTCCCAGGTCACCTGATCAGAGGCGGGGGCCTCAGGTAGGCCATTGGCCGCAGCATCCCTCCTCCCCACAGGGACAGACCCCCCATGAGGACCTAGGGAAGCAGCTAGTTGGATCACCTAGGGATGTGATGGATCCCTCGGTGATGGCTTCATCCTCATCATCGCTGGACAAAGGGATTACAGGTTCCCTTCACACAGTTCTGCAAGATGATGCCAAGGCTCACAAGGAGCTTGTGAAGAGGGTCGCCTCTGACCTGGGGCTCCAGGCAGAAGAACTTGAGCTGTCAAACTCTCTGTTCGATGTCCTTTGCTCCATGGCACCTGCTAGAGTGGCTTTACCCCCTCATGTAGGGGTAATCGAAAATAATTAATGCCCTTTGGCACCCCTCTCCTTTCTGCCACCTATCTCAAAAAGGGCTGAGCACAAATATTTTGTGCCAGCTACAGGCCATGAGTATGTCTATACTCACCTGGCCCCAAACTCCCTCGTAGTTGAGGCCGTTAACCAGAGTGAGAGGCAGTGTCAACCCAGGCTACCCCCAAGAATAAAGATTCGAAGACACTGGATCTCTTTGGGTGAAAAATGTATTAGTCTTCCAGCCTTCAGTTGAGAGTGGTCAACGAACAACCCCTCCTAGGCTCTATGACTACAATCTGTGGCAGTCTATGGCCAAATTCGAGGTCTCAGTGTCCAAAGTATCTAGAAGGGAATTCCAGGTGATCCTCAAAGACGGTACATCTGCACCAAGAGCAGCCCTCCAAGCAGCCTCAGTTGCAGCAGACTCTGTGGCTTGCACCATGGCCTTGGCCATCTCTATGCAAAGGGTGTCCTGGCTGCTCCTCTTGGGTCTGTCGACGGAGGCTCAGCAAACAATGCAGGATCTCCTCTTCGACGGCCAGGCCCTGTTTTCAGAGCAGATGGATAGTAAACTGCATGGCCTTCAGGACTCCCACACCACCCTGAAAACTCTGGGACTGCACGTTCCCAGTACAGCCCGTAATTGGTTCAAACAGCAGCAATCTCCGGGCCAAGGGAATCAACCCTGCCAGGAGGGGATTAAGAAGAGATGGGGCTACAAGTGCTGCCCGAGCCACCCACCTCCACCCTCTGCCCAGTCGGGCTCGACCCGCAATAAACAGGTGGGTGAGTGAGAGTTTTGAGGGTGCACTTGCAGGAGACCTACCAGATTATACCCTGGATCGTTCTGTCCCGCTGTTCTCCAACCACCTTTCTTTTTTCCTTCCTGTGTGGATCACTATAACTTCAGACCTCTGGGTCCTCAATACTGTGGTGGAGGGTTATATCCTAAAGTTTATTTCTGCCCCTTCCCTGCAACGTCCTTCCCCATCCCTCTTCAGGGGCCCTTCTCACAAGAGTCTCCTCATGCAGGAGGTAAAAGGGTTGCCGCAATTGGGTACAGTGGAAGAAGTTCCTCTCGAGTACATGAACAAGGGGTTTTATTCCCGGTACTTCTTAATCCCAAGGGCAGTCTGTGGCCCATCCTGGACCTGAGGGACCTCAATAAGTATCTAAAGAAGCTAAAGTTCCGCATGGTCTCCTTGGCTTCTATCATCTTCTCCCTGGATCCGGGAGACTGGTATGCTGCCCTTGACTTGAAGGACGCATACTTCCACATAGCGATCTTTCAAGGTCACAGATGCTTCCTCCGGTTTATGGTGGGCCCCCACCACTACCAGTTTGCGGTCCCCCTGTTTGCCTGGAAACAGGACCCAGAGTGTTTACCAAGTGCAGGTTGGTGGTGGCTGCTTACCTCAGTCATCAGGGTATTGAGATCTACCCATACCTCAATGACTGGCTAGTCAAGGGTGACTCCAGGTCTCAGTCCAAGAGGATGTTGTGGTGCTGCAAGCCACATGCTGCTCCCTGGGCCTACTGGTGAATGACACAATTTATGTTACTTCTGGTGCAAAGAATAGAGTTCACTGGAGCCGTGTCTGACTCCACCTGCGCCAGAGTGTTCCTGCCACTAGAAAGGTTCTAGACATTGATGGACCTCATCGTGGAAGTCTCTGCATTCCCCCATCTACAGCCAGGGTTTGCCTGTGCTTCCTGGGTCACATGGCAGCGTGCATATATGTTGTCCACCATGCCAGGCTTCAGATGCATCTCCTGCAGCAATGGCTGGTGATGGTCTATTCCCAGTTCAGAGATCACCTGGAGAAGGTCATTACCATTCCCCCCGACAGTACTCGCTTCACTGTGATGGTGGACCAATCGCATGACTGTCCTAGAGTGGGTTCCATTCAACATCCCTCCATCACTCCATCGAGTTGGTATTGGACTCCTTGGACTTTGGCTGGGATGTGCACCTCAGTGACCTCCAGATCCAGGGTATATGGTCCCCGGCAGAGGTGACGTTACACATAAATGTCAAAGAACTCATGGTGGTCCACTTGACATGCGGAGTCTTCCTATCTCACTGGTCAGGCAAGGTGGTGAGAGTCCTGCGGACAACATGGCCTCAATGTTCTGCATCAACAGGCAATGGGGAGCATGTTTGTTGACTCTCTGCCAAGAGGCACTCCATCTCTAGGACTTCTGCATCAGTCACGAAATCCATCTGGAAGCTTGTCATCTCCCTGGTGTCAAGAACACACTAGCGGATCACCTCAGCAGGGCCTTCTCCTCTCACCACAAGTGGTCACTCCACCTGGAGGTAGCCTGAATGATCTTCCAGAGGTGAGGAACTCCCCATGTGGACCTGTTCGCCACCAGGCTAAACAGAAAATGCCACCAGTTTTATTTGCGGCAAGGCCTCGGCAAGGGTTCCCTCTCTGATGCCTTCCTCCTGTCGTGGTCAGGGAACCTGTTGTACATGTTCCCTCCAATTCCTCTCATCAACAGGGTCCTAGCAAAGATCAAGAGAGACAAGGCACAGGGTATCCTGCCTGGCCTTACCAGCACTGGTTCAGCATGCTCATGAACCTGGCAGTGGCCCCTCCCTGGCCCCTGCCCAACCAACTGGACCTGCTGTCACAGGATCATGGTTGGCTCCTGCACCCCAACCTCATGTCCCTCCACCTCTCGGTGTGAATGCTGCGTGCTCTGGAGGAGTGGACCTGCTCAGGTGAGGTACAACAGGTCCTCCTGGGAAGCAGGAAACCCTCAACCAGACTGACTT